CCATGGGCGGTTGTTAGAGGCAGGGCAAACAGGAGGGAGCTGCCTTATCATCCAGGGAGAGCTGATGAGGGACAGGAGCAAGGGGCAGCTTGTGGAGGACATCCCCAGGTGAGGTGCCTGGGCGGGTGATGGAGAAAATGGAGCTGGTTGTCACTCTGGGCCACAGGGAGATGGAGTGATGCTCATTCTAGTCTCCAGGATAAAAGAGATTTAGGAACATTCGTGGTGTTCCTATGATCTGAAGCATCAGCACCTGGTCGAGACCTGCATAGGCAGATGTGGATCCGGCAGAGCAGCCAGACCCACCTAGGTACTTGCGATTTAGGTTGAGTGGAAGCTGCGGGAATAACTGAGCTTGGAAGGAGAGAGTGCACAAGGTGAGAAGTGGAAGGCCCAGGAGGAAGGAGGAGAGATGACCTCCCCAACAGCTCCTGTGTTCACTTGCCACCGTTTCTGTGTCATCCCTCTGATCAGGCCCAGCACCATCCCTGGCCCTAGAAGTCCTGGGTACTCTTTAACTCAAAGATGCATGTATGCAAGAAAGCTCAGGATGACTTGAAATTGAAGCTGCCCAGAGTACATTCCAAATAGAGGAATTTGGTCCAGAGTAGGGGAAGGGTTGTGTCTTGGGTTCCCCCAAGTCCTCAGTGTCCCGTTTGGCTTCTGCACCTAGGCAAGACTGGGAAGGGTAGAAGTACGGGTTATAACAAAGGGGGTAGAGACCACCCCTGCCTCAGCTGATTTATTGGGTGGTCTGGAAAGTCATGAAGCATTTTTGGCATGACTTCCCTGATGACTTGATAGTTTCGGAAGTAAGCATTACCTTCTAGTTTGTGAGGGCAAGGCTGCAAATCCTTGCAGGAGTATGGTCTATTGAGATGGTTGTAACACGGATATCTGGACTGGCCCTTCTCTAGCCAGCTAATTTCAACTCTCACCTTAAGGAGCATGTTAGGCCTACAGAGAGAGAGTGGCTACACCCTTGCTTCTCACTGGTGCCTTCAAACTTTGTCTTTTTGAGACATACTTACTGCTAGAGGGGGCTTCCCTGGCTTCGGGTGTGGTGCCTTCACCCCGTGCCAGCAGCTACAGCACTGCCTCTTCCCTTAGAACTTTCCCTGAGTCTCAACAGACCCATTTCAACGGCTGGTCCCTCCTCCTTGCTCCTGCAGCAAGGATGATTCTCAGTGGCCCCTTCACATCAGAATTAGTCCTGACACATTCGTGGCCCCTCTGCATGTCCTAAGCCTTGAGGACAGGACCCTCTCTGATTCATCGAGCTGTCACATGTAGGAGCAAGGTGGGACTCTAGAATTCACCTGGTCTGGCTCCCTTGTGGCCCCCATGAGATGGTGAGGCCACAGGCAGAAGAGGGTCCCCAGATTTCTCAGCACCTCAATGATGGACGTGTCTCTTGCCTCCTAGCCTGGGCTCCTTCTTGTTCTGCTATGCAAGAGGCCTCTGCCTTGACCTCCCCTCGGCCTCTCCTTGACCTCCTCCTCGCACAGGGTGGGCGGTACAGTCACACATTTCCATCATGACACACTGCAGTAGACCGTGCTGTACAGCCCAGACACGTAGTGGCCATGCCATCTAGGTGTGTGACATGCACACAGACATGACAGGGCTAACAGTGCAGTGCTCGGAATGCACCCTGTCCTTAAGCAACGCTGGCCTGTACTTATTGCTGAATGAATGAATCAGCAGTTTATGGATGAGCCAAACCCTGTTTTCCGTACAGGTGATAGCCATTCCACGTGGACACAGGTGTTCCTTTAGGGAAGCCTCAAGACCTGCTCTTGAGGCTGTGAGAACTCGAGCGTGCAGCCCAGGTACACACCCCTCTACCTGCCTCAGTGCATGTGGGGCTCACGGCACTCCTCAGAACCAGTATGCCTGTGCAATGCGAACTGTCCGAAGCATAGGAAGTTCAGACTGGCACCCCACAGTCCTGCCACCAACTACACTCCCCAAACATCCTCTTCTTCTTCCCACCTCTCCAGAGGACCACCAGCTACATTTGCACAACTAGAAACCCAGGAATGGCCCCCGGTCCCTCTCTGGCCTGTATCTGGCCCCAGCCCAGTCCTGTTGTTTCTGCCTTCTCTGATGCTAAGGAAACCAGCCTGAAGTGGGGCTCCCCTGGTGGGTAATTCCTTCTAATAAATCACCTCTGCATCACAGCATGTGCCTCTCTGCTCTCTCCAGCCAGCTGCAAACAGCCTCGTTCTTTGCTGCTGGTCTCATAGTAACAGTTACACACACAGAAGTATACACTTGATGTCGAATACATTTGCAAGCAGAATGCATTATTCTCTTGGAGAGAGTAGTTTGGAAGGGTGCTAGCGAGCAGTGACCGAGACCTTCTTCCACACTAGATTAACGTGCCTCTGTTCTACTCATGGTGACTCTGTGAGCCAAAGAGTATTATTCCACTCTGACAGAGGAGGAAACTGAGGCATGGAGAGATTAAGATGTTTTCTCAAGTGTCTTGTAGAAAAGATGTGGCAGATTCCATGAAAGATACGAGCTCCACCTAAGGAATTCCTTTCTCTCCTGTCCCCTTTTCTTTTTTATTTTATTTGTTTATTTTGCTGTAGGGTGTGTGTACTCACCAGAGAGAGAGAGAGAGAGAGAGAGAGGAAAGTAAGAAAGCACTGCCCAGTGGGGATGGCAATACTGCAGCCCCTTTTCCTCCAGTCTCTTCCCAGGACTTCGGATATGCACACACATCTGCCCAGTGTGAGTTTCAAGCCACTGGGTCTGGGACTCGAGCTGCATAGCCTTCCATGTGGGATCCAGCATCTTAACCTCCACACCACCTGCTGGTCCCTCCTCCTACCCATTTTATTTTATTTTATTTTATTTTATTTTATTTTATTTTATTTTTTAGAGGTTTTTGTTATAAGGTGTGTGTGCTCGCCAGACAGAGAGAGACAGAGAGACAGTGAGAAATCACCCCCCATGGGGGATGGCCACGCCACAATCCCTTCTCCTCCATTCTCCTCTCGGGATCTTGGGCACGCACGCACATGCGCCCAGTGTGAGTTTAAGCCACCAGGTCCGGGACACGAACCACAGTCAACTATGTGGGAGTCCAGCGACATAGCCGTTACGCTAACTGCTGGTCTCATCTCCTATCCATTTTAAAACAGCAGAGTGACCTGACTATGGTCACGAAGGGAAATGTAGTATCTTCTCCCATTGGCTTGCACAGCACAGCAGCAGGTCCCTGGCCTCCGTTGACTAGCCAGGGCAGCACTCCACGAAGACCCTGTGATCCAGGATTCTGCACATCCAGGCAGCAGGGCTGATGGGTTCTAAGGGAACAGCATCCATTTTCCAAGAAAATTACTTCAGGCAGTTATGATTGCACTGGTCAGCTGGGATGCTGCTTGTCTGTTTCATTTGGGTCATTTCTTCAGATTATTAGGCAAAAACTTATAAAGCCAGTATGTTCTGTTCTGTTGACCTTCAAAAATTGTGGGCCAAGTCATTCTTTATCTGGCCTTTGAGATTAAAAAGGGGGATAGAAGAAAGCGTTTCTGCTGCCGTGATCCCTTCTCAGCAGCCAGTGCCTGTGGATCCTGAGTAATTGTAAAGAAGATTAAGACGTGTGGAGATTATATTGATTTCTTTATTGCACAGCCACATGCGGAAGGAGCGAGGGTGTTGGAGACATCGGTAGCCCAACACCAAAATCCCTTTCCCCACCTCAACACCAGGAGCTTTGCACTTATAATTAAAATATTTGCCAAAACAGGGTCATGGGGAGCAATGGGGTCCTTTGACATTCCCTCTGCCCCAGAGTTTTGGGAGCTTGTGTTTTTCACCCCTGCAGCTGGTTTATAAACAAATATATAGGCTAACCCTATGTCATAACACAGTGCAGGAGAGGCCAGCTGCTACATGACTGACTGGGGTTCAAGTCCAGACTGCAGCAGCTTACACCGGCACGTGCATGTATGACCGGGATCCTACGGGGATGGAGAATTAGAGGAAAAGAACTGTGGCATTCCCGAGCCCCATGCAGGAGTGCATTCTTTCCCTCCCACCCCTTCTCGCATGTGCCCTGGGCGTATAAATAAATAAATGCATGCTTTATGCTTCCAGCCAATGTTTATGGAGGAGCTACTGTGTGCAGGTCCGACCCTACAGGCTGGGGCAGCTGTGTCGATCCAGTAGTAACCAAGGACAAGGCTGGGATGTAGTCACTCTTCATACTAAGGGGCTAGCTTTTCCTTTCAGCCAAGAGACAGAAATAAATCTCATTTGTTGCCAGCAATAACATTACTAATAGGTTCTTCATTAATTACAGTCAGCACACAGAAAGGACCCCAAGGGGCTAGTGCCGGCCAAAAAGAGCTTTTCAGTCTGGCCATTTTCATTTCACGTTGAGACGGTTATCACGGAGGAGCAGCTTTTCCATCTCCTCCTATGACTTCTCTTTTCTCAAACTGGCTTAAAACATGCGGAGGGGTGGGACAACCCAGACGCCTGGATTGCCAGCCTTTCTGCCTCCAGCCCCTCCCAGGTGAGGAGCAGGCATGGACTTGTTTCCTCTGCCCTTTGAGGTGGCACGCCCTTCCCCTTTTACAGCTGACATCATTGATGGTGGGGGCAACACCTACCTCTGTCCTGCCTTGGGCGGGACACCAAGAGACAGTATGAAGTTACCACGCACGTGGGTTCTTAGGACGTGGGGTATAAGGGGCAAGAAGGTTCCTTTCCGCACCTCGGTGTCATTCTCGTCCCATCACCTACTGAGCAGGGAACACTCGTGGGCTGGAATGGTGAGGCCTCTTGACGCTGCTCTTGAGGGATGCTCCCAGGTCCCCCCATCCACAGCTGAAGGAGGCGTGTTCAGTGGGCAAGGAGCCAGAGCCCCGTGCTCTGCTGACTCAGCGGAGAACACACCGTGTGGTCCCCTTCGTCCCAGTCACACTCCAGGCCCTCCGTGTCCCTCCTGGCTAACACTTCTCCCTCTTCATTGCCTCTAGTTCTGAGCATCGGCGAAGGGGGCTTCTGGGAAGGCAGTGCCCGTGGCCACATTGGATGGTTTCCGGCCGAGTGCGTGGAGGAAGTCCAGTGTAAGCCCAAGGACAGCCAGGCAGGTAAGGCGGGCGCCGCGTCGCGAATCTACCCTCGGTGTCTTTGGCCTCTCTCAGGCCTGTGGTCGGAGCCGTCTGGTAGGCTGGAGTGCGGAGGAGGCTGAGTTGTACATCAGGGGCTTCTCCAGATCTTTGAAAACAGGTTGGCTGCTTCCATTCCACTGGGCTTCATCCAAACCAGAAATTGATTGCAAGATGGTGTGGAAGCTTTTAGTTAAAATGCTGCTCAGTACACGTTCCAGAGAGCTTGGATCGTGTGTTCTAGCCCCCAGAGAAAGACTTTTTAGGGCTGATTAAATGGCTTTTTTTGATCTCATACTGATGTCATCAAACAGGCAGCTTCCCATTTACAGGCGCGCCCACCCCCGCGTCCTCTCTTAGAACCACACAGTGAGGGCCTCCTGAGAATCTGCTCTACAGAGTTCAGGGTTCACGATGGCGGTCCGATGGCGGTCGGTCGTTTCGGCATCTCTCTTACAAGGCTCAAATACAGCACTTGCTGAGAATGATTTTAAAATCAATTACTGAAAGATGGAATTGATTAAAATATTAAAAGGAAGCTACTTCAGTGGGATTGAGAAAAAGTATTCATGTGAGTTGGGGGAAGTGAAGCCCTCAGTGTCTCTTGCTCCCATGTGAAATCAGTCCACGTGTAAGCTGTCGGTTTTTGGTAGGATTCCAGGCTCACAGGCACGTGTCTGAAGCAGCCACATGAATGTCACCATCACTGACCTTGCTGTGTCTCCTTGTACAGACTGCGTCCCCTTGGCTCTGCTCAGACATGCCCTTTGCCTCATTTAGCAGCTCAGCTTGTAGCCCCCACCCCATCAGATCTGCCTGGGTCCTTATGGGCCAACAAATGGACATTTGCCAAGCACAGAGGTGCCTCCCTGCCACTGGGTCTCCCTCGGTCCTGGCCAGCTTGGCAGGGTCTTTATTAGAGCTCAGAGGTTTTCTCTCTGAGGACTTGGCTTCAAGGAGGAGGAAAATCATTTGAGCTATGCTTCTCTGCTCTCAGTTCCCTGCACAGGCAGACACCACATAGTGCTTGGGGGGGTGGAGAGATATGACATGTCCCCAACTTGCCCTTGAAAGAGAAGATGGCCATGTGACCTGTGGGGAGGGAGTCGTGGTAGGCAGGCAAAGGAAACAGGTCCTCCTGGATGTGAGGATGAGACCCTGAGCCCCTGTATAGGCCAGACCTAGCCCTTCTAGCTAGCTCCATCCACCCTGGGCCCACACCCATCCTCTCTGCAGGCAGCTTGCCCCCGCCGCCCCTACCTTGCCTTCCCAGGCTGCTAGCTGCCATCACTTCCCCTCGCTGACCCTCCTAACTGGCAGGAAATCCAGCCTCCACTTCTGGAGTTGACTTAGCACCACCTCCTTGTCCCAGCACTTCCTTTCAGAGCCACGATGGATCACCACTCCCTTCCTTGGAAAGACTTTCCTTGGAAAGACTCTGCCACACCTGGATGGGCCAACCCCAGAGGACCACCTGGGGGGTCACTTGGCCTTCCTGCTCTTCACCCTCCAAAGAATAGTGGTTTCCTGAAGAGTAGGGCAGGAAAGGGCAGGCGGCTTGGGCCCACCTCCCTTCTCCTTTCTGCTGTGGGCTTCCCCACCGGCCAGCCGGGCCCATTTACCCCTGATAAGGACATGTAGCTCTCCCTAGTCCTATTGGGAGTGTCTCCAGGTGGGTGGGGAGAGGAGGTGGGGCCTGCCAGGCTGACGAACATCCTGTGGAAGGAGTTTCCAGAGGGGCAGAGGCTCCTGCTGGTGTTTATTGCTGGAGGAAGCTGATGGCTGTGATGGAGATTCCTAGAAGGGCTTTCTTCGTCCCACTCATACTTGGCAGGACTCGTTCTTGATGAAGCAGCATTCTCTACCTGCTCCTATGCCTGGCATGGGCCCCGGCATTCAAGGGCCCG